TACTTGTGTTCCTGGATACACAGGAAAAACCTGCCAAACAGGTAAAGATTCTTATACTCACTATTACACGTACTGCACATGTACTTGTGTTCCTGAATATTCAGGACAAACCTGCCAAACAGGTAAAGATTCTTTAACTCACTATTACACGTACTATACATGTACTTGTGTTCCTAAATATACAGGAAAAACCTGCCAAACAGGTAAAGATTCTTATATAGGAGATCGTTGATGACAAGTGAACAATGACAGAACCCTAATAACTATAACCGCACTGCAACGGTTGTGGACAGGAAGTGTAGTGGTTCCGTAAATCACTTTTAAAACAATATATGGTCATGGTACAATACACGCGCACTGCATTCTAACAGCAACAGATACGAATGATACAATCAATCTTCTTTATCAATCAAATTAGTTCTTATAGGAATATTCTGCATAATGTAAAAAATGTTTTAAGGTTACGGTCACGGTACAATGCACGCGCATGGCATCGCGACGTCTCATTGACAATAGTACTTGATGTCATAAATCCTCATGATTAACCATAGTGGAAGTCAATAGGAATGTGCTGAACAGAATTAAATGCTATCATAACTGGGCGTCCACACTGACACACGTAGTCCTTCGCTGAAATGGAGATATTTAAGTGTCACATCTGACCTGATTTTTTCTTCCCCAGAAATTAACGAATGCGAGAACAATAGATGTCAGAACAATGCAACGTGCAATGTAAGTCACTGTTCTTTTATGAGCTGTCGCTATTTTGTTTAAACTTACCACCCTGCCACCGGCCATTCTGCGGAAATAGTAATAGAAGCCTACCCTATTCTCCGTGGTTGATGTTCCATGGTTGTTTAGATTAAGAATTTGGATATTAAGGATTTGGGGCAAAGATTAAATCAAACCTTGATACGGAGAGAGATTAAGGCCCTGGCTAAATGAAGAAACATGTTTCCCTAAATGTTTCCTAAGATGGCAAAATTGTCAGGAAACATCGGGAAACAATGTTTCCATGCGTCTGGGAAACATGAAATGTTTCTGCCGCACAGCAAAAACATTTTTTGCGTCTTGGAAACATCGAGGAAACATGCGCGCGGTAAAAATCTTTCTGGAAACATGTTTCCTCGTTTAGCCAGGGCCTAAGAAACGGTTTGGCAGTGGGAGAAGAAAGGGATGGGGTAACAGTAGATACTGGGAGTTGTTCGAGTGAGGAGCGATGACACCTATTCTACACTAGGGACCAAAGCCGACGATACCAGAGACTATTTGTAGGCTAGCCAAGCAGAAACAGTACCACTTAGATTTGCGCAGTTGAATTTGGTTGTTAAATAAAATACTGGCTCATTGGAGACCTAAATCATACACACTCATATACGTTCCTCATATGATTTATATCTGCACTTTTTTAGGATCTTCTCAACAAGTACACTTGTAGTTGTGCGCCTGGGTTCACTGGTTCCATGTGTGAGACAAACATCAATGAATGTCAAAGTAACCCATGTCAGAATGGCGGCACATGCATCGATGGTATCGATAGCTACCAGTGTAGATGTGTAGATGGCTATAAGGGGAACCAATGTCAAACTAATATAGATGACTGTGAAAATAAACCCTGTCAAAATGGAGGTTAGTGATGGATACTTGAACCAAGGGTCTGTCTTTATGAGGCTCTTCTTTAGTGAAATGCATATACTGTCACGCAAACCTGTTTCAGTCACGCAAACCTGTTTCAGTAAGTTTAAGGTTTCTAGTAAACTTATTTCTCGTCCTTCAGAAGCTTGTAAAAGGCTTCCCATTCATTTAAAGAAAGAAACGTTGCCGGAGCTAGATCTGAAAAGGGCGTTCTGAGACTATAAAGATAATTTTTGTGCTTGTATATGATTTCTGGCTAAAATACAAAAAATCGCATTCCTAACTCAAAGGCCATGCTTTAATTTCCAAGGCAACTACGTTGTTCGACTTTAAATAATAGGGACTTTAAGATTTGCAAAATCTACGACGGCGACGTCAACCGAAAGTGTAAAAAATTTCTTTTAGAGGTTCTGTTCATTGGAGATTTCATTCAAAAACGTTGTCAGTAAAGTCAACTCATCCACAGGGAAGACAGATCTTAAAAACTTGAAACCCCAAAGCGAAGTAATTTACACTTCCGGTTCACGTCGCCGTCGCAGATTTTGCAAATCTTAAAGTCCCTAATATCTTACGAGTTTGATGCATGCTTATTCTCAGATTTCACATTTCAGACCTTTTTTTGAAATTGGTGTATATTATGATATTTGGTCAGTAAATTTGGTTGACTAAAGATTAACTGGTTGTGTTCTCTACTCAGGTACTTGCATCGATGAAGTCAATAACTTTCGTTGCACATGTCCTTCTGGATTCTATAGCAAAACTTGCACAAATGCTACTAATGAGTGTGTTCCAAACCCGTGTAAAAATGGTGGTAAATGTCAGGATTTGCACTTAGATTACAATGTAAGTCGGAATCCTTTTTTCTTTTGAGTGCGAACACTGTGTTCATAAAAAATAGAGTGCATACCACATATCCGTGAGAAACTTTGTAAGAAATTTCACAAATTAGTAAGTCAGCAGACCTCAGTAACCCGTAGACCTACAAAACTGTGCTCTAATTTGTACACCATATTTTGGGGTCTTTCTTGGTGTTGCAAGATGTATTGTATTCTGGGTTAGGGTGATTGTATTGCAGGGTATTGTTTAGCTCCAAACTCATTGTTCTCGGCTATTGTTTTATTGTCTTCATGGCTCAGGTGCCCTGCAACACCAAGAAATAAAGAGCCCAATTTTGTTAGTTAACTTTTTCATGGATATATGTATGCATTCTATCACATGACTAGCAACAAATAGTACTATTAGTACAGAGCAAGCACGGGTGGTGCGCATGCATTGCCCCTCACCAGTGCGGCCTGGACTCGGTGTTGTATGTGAGGTAGAGCTGCGGCTTGTTGGTTTTTTCCTGTGCTTCTATGATTTTCTCTGTCGGCGGGTTTTTCCTCCCTCCCCAAAAAATCAACTTCTAAATTCTAATTCCATCACGCGCTTTCACCTAGTTGGAACCTGGTTCTATTGAGATACAACAACAAAAGCTTGATTAATTCTTAGATTTTACTTATCACTGATGAAAAAAAGGAAACACTAGATGTAACACTAGATGTAACACTATTGTACTATTCTTTCACGGGCCAACTAAAACCGCTCTAGTTTCTCAATCATGTACGTTATTTCCTTCGTTCTAGTGCACTTGTCCATTGGGCTACACAGGAAAAGACTGCCAAATCAACATCAATGAATGTAAAAACGACTCGTGTGCGCCAACCGGGACGTGTCAAGATGGAGTGAATAACTTCACTTGTTCGTGCAATGTTGGGTTCACGGGAAGACGATGTGACGTCAACATCGATGAATGCGCTGGTAATATATTATAAGTATCAATAACGCATGTGTACGAAACTCCCAGCCGTGATAAATATGTAAAAGTCATGCGTAACAGTCATGCTTCCTTTTTTGCGGAAGACGAATATTCATTTTTTGTCATAAGTGGACTATTTGGACGATACGGCGGCCAAAAGAAAAAAAAAAAAAATGCCGGAAATTATAAAGTTTCTTGTGTTTGTCTATCTTTCATGGGTAAAGGTGATCGATGTGCCGTCTTAATTTATCTTTTATTGTATTCTTTTGTGGTAAGCTGTCAACACCAATCGAATTCATTACTCTACCAAGCTTTATTTGCCCCCTGGACGCCCCATAATTCCTTGCGATCCAAGATAGTTGTCATATCGTCGAAGTAGTCCGTTTCTCTCAACCAAACGCTAACTTATTGTTTTGTTTTGCCACAGCAAACCCATGTCTTCACAATGCCACTTGTCTTGATGGTATTAACTCTTATTCGTGCAAATGTGCCCTGGGTTACAGTGGTGTTAACTGTGAAGAAAACATCGATGATTGTGCAGCCGCAACGTGTTTTAACAACGCTACGTGTATCGATGGTATTGCAAACTACACGTGTAATTGTTCTACGGGTTATACTGGTAAGACACATTATATTTGAAATGCACCGAGATCAATAAACCTTTCTCATAATGGCTACCAAATACGATTGGGACTGAGAACAAGCGCATGCGAGCGAGGTCATTAAGTCCTCATTAGCAAACAAGCATAAGTTATTTGTGTTGAGGTCTTTCGCTTTTGCTTCAAGAAATACTTGATAAAGAACTCGCACTGGACGCCATGGTGCATTGTGTAGAGAAGCGAGGCCTTTATGAACTCTTTTCCATGCTCCCGCACAAAAAGCAACGCAAATGCAAACGTAATGAATAAAAATTGTGCTTGTGTGCCTGTGCTTGCGTTTGCGTACGTGTTTTTAACGTGTGAATCGGTGGAAACGCTAACGCAAGCAAATTGCAGGAATGCAAACGTAAGACCAAAACTGATTTGATGCAAACAAGCAATAATCCTCTTGCGTATCTTAATTTGCTTGCATTTGCGTTTGACTTGTGAAAATTGTGGCATTTGCTTTAGCGTTGCTCGCGTGAACCATGCTCAAAATTTAACAATTGATTGTATAACAGTTATTAAAATGAAATTGAAGACTAGTATACTCGACGTTTCGACGCCATCCGGCGTCATCTTTAAGAGTGAAAGTAAAGCAAATTAATAATTTGAAAACATAAARWACTTTGCTTTACTTTCACTCTTGAAAATGACGCCGGAGGGCGTCGAAACGTCGAGTATACTAGTCTTCAATTTTATTTTAAAAACTTCAAGAAACAAACACCTGATGGTATCACGACCGTGTTTTAAAGGTCGATATTGTAGCGAGAGAATCGACTACTGCACAAGGAGTAATCAACCTTGTAATAATGGAGGGACATGTATCAATGAACTGGCCCGATATCGCTGTTTGTGTCCCGAAGGGTACAATGGAACCAACTGTCAAATAACACCCTGTCATTCAGGACCTTGTCAAAATAATGGTTCGTGTTTACATGCGAATGTTGCGTCATTGTACAAGTGTAGCTGCAGAGAAGGCTTCGAGGGCAAGGACTGTGAAAAAAGTAAGTACGATTGGAAAAATTAGAGGAGGTGTGATGACATAGTCACGAGTCGACGTTTGCTGACGATCACTTCCCCTCCTCTTTTCTCTCCTCCCTCGTAATGTGGCCCGCACTTTTTTTCCTCTTTTCTGCTTTCCTGAATCAGAGATGTAATCTCTGTTAAGAGATGGACCTTCAACATTGTGGCACCTCCGCGTAGGCCGTGAGGAGACTAAAAACGACGGAGAAGGCTATTTATGAGAGACAATATGCTTAGGATAACTAGGCCTAATTCTGCTTTTCATTTAGATATTGATGATTGCGATCCCAGTAATAACATATGGAACCAAGAGAGTTCAAGCTCCATTGGACCATATGGTTACTGCGGGCAACATGGCAACTGTATAGATCAAGTGGCTTCGTATAGGTGTGAATGCCATCGTGGATGGAATGGATCCAAATGCGACATAGGTAAGTACGTAGGACGTACCAAGAAACTTATTTATCGATACACTACTGAAATAACCTCTGGGTGATCTAATTCAGGGCACGGCTAACTCACAGATCAAACCCTGAAACAACCTCTGGGCTGATCTAAGTCAGGGCATGGCTAAATCACAGATCAAACCCTGAAGCAGCCTCTGGGCTGATCTAAGTCAGGTCATGGCTAACTCACAGATCGAACCCTGAAACAACCTCTCTCCTCCCGCCCTGCACAGATCGAACCCTAAAAAAAGGTAGGAAAGTTCAACTGGTTTCACTATTACATAGCGATGTTCCTATATGCAGTGCTGTAGCCAAGCATTGTAAAACTCAGGGTTTAATTTTCCTTTGGATTCTTATTTAGATATTGATGAGTGTTCATCCAACCCTTGTCAGCGTGGTGGTCAGTGTATTCAGACTAACAACGCCAGCTATGAGTGCTCATGTCCCGCGGGATACACGGGAAGAAACTGCGAATCAGGTACATATCAACAACATAATTTGATGTTTCCTCATTTGTTTTGCTAACAATAGGATCTGGTAAGTACTGAATTCATTCATTTATTCGCACGTCAGGAAATACTGCGCTCTAATATGCTACCTGCACTAACATGTCACCTGACCCTTCCCCCCTAAAACAGCACTAATGCGCAAATAGGCCAAATTGACGACTTTAGAAACGAGTTGAGAACTGGGAACAAGTTTTTAGAATTAACCTATTTAAAAAATAATAATAAAAAAAACGAAAAAAACACCATTACAAGAAAGAAAACATCGAAATTAGTAAATTTTTGGAGTTTCAAGGTTTTGGGTTTCAAACCTTTTCGTATGTGTGTAGCAACCTCCCAAACATGTCAAAGAAATGCATGGTTACTGGAGACGCTTGTCCCTAGTAAATATACATTTCTTTGTAATTTTTGATGTTTTTGCTTGCTTATAATTAAGCTCTTACGTAGCCAATTGAAGCCAATCTGCAGAAACCTCAGGTTTAATTTGATGTGCTCTTTCTCGTCATGGAAATATACGTTTAATAAGATCAATTATCAACTTCGTTTGCAATAGACGTCATAGCCGCCATGTTGGAAGAATTTGACAAAAGATTTTTCAGTGAATTCTTTTGTCATATCTTCCAACATGGCGAACATCCCTTTTGTTATTGTGCTCTCTTGGGATTGATTGCAAACCAAGAATACTCGTTCCCTTATCCTGAAACCTTTGATGGTGGGCTATTTGAGAAAACATTGTCACACCACGAATATGGTCTTTAGGCCTTTTTAGCTACTTATGCAAATTGCCCATTTCAAATGACATTCCCCTGAGAATCGTTCTTTTATGACGAACATGTTAAAATATTTACTACACATGAAAGAATCAACTCCCAAACGTGGCGTCACATGGTCTGAATCGTGCACGCTAAACGACGAAGCTAAGGCCCCGTCCACACGTATCCGGAAATTTTTGTATCCGCAAATTTTTTTTACGGATACGGGTTGCATCCACACGTGTCCGGAAATTTTTGTGGCCGTATCCGCAAATTCTACGAAAACGGACACGTGTGGACGGTGAAAACGATTCGAATACGCTTCGTGTGGACGCAAAACATTTTCGTATCCGCAAAAAATAATTTGCGGATACAAAAATTTCCGGATACGTGTTGACGGGGCCTAAAAAGGTATGCTGATATGGAATCGTTTTCTTTCAGAAATTGATGAATGTCAGATTAGTAATCTTTGTGCTAGTGGATCGCAATGTGTAGACAGACTCAACGGTTACGAGTGTAATTGTACCAATGGAAAGAAAGGAATCTACTGCAACTCAAGTAAGGCTAGGACACCAAATTAACAGGGGCCGACCTCGGTCAAGATTATCCCGTACAGACCTCCCGCTCGGTTAATAAGATTTAATTATGTCACAAATATATCTGAGTCCTTAATCTTTCGTTATTTTTGTCCTGCTACCTGGCCTATGAAGCTACTACATTAGATTTCGTATGACTGACAACGTAGTACAGATGTGTAGTGCCTAGGATGACCGTAATGGTGTCTTATTCAGGCAGCGCATTGTCATCGGATGTGAATTGATCTTGCCTGCTGTTTTTCAAAGGATTTATTACTTTGTTGTTCCCTGTTTTAACTGTCCCATATTTATCTTATCTGGACCTTGCTAGCAGTCAATACTGTTTTTGTTTTCGTCAGCTACTTCATGGTGTGACCCTCCCCCCTGTCAAAATGGGAACTGCACAGACACTGGTTCAGCCTTTACTTGCGAATGCCCTTCTGGTTTCAAAGGACGCTACTGTGAAATTGGTAAGGAGGCTTATAATATCATATATAGTAAAAAAGAAATAATAATATAATGAAGGTGGGACAATATCCGGATTCCCGGTGCAAGGGAATCGGGGTTTTGGAGTTCACAAGATTTTGGCTCTCTGAATCCCATAATCCGCAAGCCCATATTCGGGATCCGTATTTCACTACTCTCTTTGCAATGAACATATATACAAAATAATAAATAGGAATTAATAATAGTACATACATTTATTTCTAATCAGTTTTGTCTCTTTCTTCTGATGCGTAGACATCAACGAGTGTGATAATGGTGCATGTGAGAACGGCTCGCTTTCAGCCTGTGTAAACTTTCCTGGGGGATACCTGTGTAAATGTAAGCCTGGCTTCAACGGGTCACAATGTGATCAAAGTAAGTAATGGCATTCAGCCATAGACTATATCGCTAGTCTGTCGCAGCAATGCTTTCTGGGACTGTTGACTCAATAGCGCAGCGCAGCCGTGACGTCATAAAAACAAAGACAAAGGCGAAATTCGGACAAACAAACTTACAAGTTTACTTTCAGCAGATAATGTTCACAGCCGATCGCAGTTGATCTTAGTTTACATGGGTTATTATTGTAACTTTAAGTAAAAATAATAAAATCGGTTCGTACAATCCTCGTAGCGGTTAARCAGAATGCAATGTTTGTCCGAATCTTTAAGCTATTTTTAGAATCAGCGCGCTGCGCTATTAACTTCAGTTTGGAATCGGTCTTCGCGACCATTACTGAGCATCTATCTTTCACTTTTCAGATATCGATGATTGCTCGCCAAATCCTTGGTATGTATTCAGTGTAAGCCATTCCGAGGTTGAAGAAAAAACTGAGTCGAGTTGGTATTACAGTGCATTTTGGGAATGTTTTAGTGGGACATATTTCCAAGATGGCGTCTAGTTCGTGCCCAACTCGACCAAAATGTTCTCTCAAACTAGGAATTGCTAATATATTGCTGCGCTATGGCTATTTTTCTGGGGAAGTCTTACTCGAGAAATTTGGGTATTAGTCCTTGGGTATTAAGGGTGTAATATGTTGGGAGGTTCATACTATTCTACACGGGCTGCAATAGACCTTTTACCTTGGACGTAATGTTTTCCCATTTCAGACCACGTGTCATTCTCTTGAACTAAGCAGATGCTTTGTTGAGTTGTATGTATCCATATTCATTTGTTTTCTTATTAATGTGCAATCGTTAAACAGAAAAATTATACTCTAGGGAATGACACGTGGWCTGAAATGGGAAAACATTACGCCCAAGGTAAAGAGGTCTAGTCTGCTTTACGGATAGATTATATTGCGCTGATTATTGGCTTGTCATTATCATTATTTAGTCTAAATGGAGGTTCTTGTGACGATGGAGTCTTATCGTATACGTGTAGATGTCAAAATGGCTTCGAAGGACCAAACTGTGAAAATGGTGAGGAAAAGCAATGAATAATTATTTTGAAAATCGTGCATGCTTTGAGCGATCTGCTGGATCACTATGTCAAAGCCAGCAATCTTTATCCATGCATGCATCCCACCCTATCCCACCCCACCCCATCCCATCCCATCCCATCCCATCCCATCCCATCCCCC